GAAGAAGAAGAAGAAGAAGAAGAAGAAGAAGAAGAAAGAAAATTGTTTTTCTTTTATATTGATACTAAAACTGTATATTGTTTATATTCAGAGGACCCAGCCAGCCTCTGCCTCTCAGATAATGATTCAACCATTTACTTCCAATTGTATTACTTTTTGTGGTCTTCCTGTTTGATGTGCGTTCCATTTAGGGCCTTGTTCCTATGCAGAGACCACTAATAATCAATCACACTATTCTCAACAGAGTATCTATACATAAAAGGCACAAAAAGAAATTTGTTTGATGAAAATACTAATAAGGAAATTGTGTGTTTTTTGCATCCACATTCGTATAGTCTTTGATCGTATCTTTTTTAAAAGAACGAGTGATTATTATTGAACTGGGGATTTTTATAAAAAGAAAAGGAACGCTTGGGAAACGGAGAAAACCCAAAACAACGGGTAAACAGGTAGAAAAAAGGTGGAGGAAATGTTATCACTTCAGCAATGCAGAGATTCAAATATTGTTTAATGTAGCGATTTTAGCAACAATGTAGATCATTTAGGGGGCTGTCTTCTGCCAACATCACAGCAGAAAGACCGAGATACTCGATACAATTTTCCCCTCTCGGAAATAGAACTCAGATCTCCTGCGCGCGACAACGAAGAGCCTAACTGCCACTCCTCAAACGTGGTGACATAATATCTAGAGGAGACAGAGGAGTAAATAGAAACTGAAAACAAGAGATTGCAGTAAATCCCCGGGAAATGCTAAGCCCAGTTTCACAATCGCTGAGCTTAGGGGTGCCATCTCCAAGATGAAACCTTGTGGGTCACCTGGTCCCCACAATAAATTTTCCCCCTTCCTTCAAAAAGAAACTGGATTCTAAAGCCCTCGGGAAGCTCTTCCTTGTCTTCCACATGTTCTTCCACTCTGCAGACGAGCCATTAATGAGAAAGGACGCCATTATTATCCCCGTCATTATCCGTTAAATCCGCATCAGACCTCGCATCGTTTCAGTTGATCATCCTCACCGCCTACGTCATCAAAGTGATGGGAAGGACGATGTCCGAGCGACTATACTACATTGCTAAGGGGAAAGGAAGATTTTCGAAACTACATGCCAAATTTCGGAAGAGCAGATGCATAGAAGAATCACACAGAACAATAACAGAAACTTCTTAAAGAAGCCCAGACATAAACCCTTGCTGGTCCTTCCAAATTCCACAAAGGCATACGACGCAGCCTAGTGTGACCGCCTTCTTCATGCCATCCTAGACGAAGGTGTGCCCGACAGTTACATCCAAAATGTGATTTTTTTTTTATACAATTGGCTGGCCAATATCCGCTTCAACGGGGTCCACAGTGGAGTAAATAGGTGAGTTTGGGCCTTCCTCAAAGATCAGTACTATCTCCGATTCCGATTGTCTTCCTATTTTACATCGACAAACTGACAGAGCTTCTGCCAGATAATATGACAGCCTCAATCCATGTTGACGATGTTTTTGTCCTTGTATCGTAACAAGTCTTTAAGGTTCTGAACTTCTCGAGCAGAGCACAGTAGATACGCATAGAGTGGTGGAGTAGGGCCGGGGGTAATAACTTAATCTGTATGGCTCGAAAAATGAGATCACATTCTTCAGTATGGCTCCAAAGGTGAGGCCACATTTTTCTCGAGGCCCTCACCTGACGCTGGCAGGCCTATAACATCATCATCAACACTGTAGCTACCATAAAAGGTTAAGTCCCATGCCTGGCACCTGGTAGTCACCCTTGACAGAGAACTTACGTTCAAATAATATTTATAGATCCAGATCGGAACGGCAAAGCCGGTCGGCAAAAAACCGTGGATGATGGGTGTAACTGTACATTCTGACTAGGGCTGAAGAAAGCAAAACCTTCTTCCACATATAGGGCGTCTTCAGTCTTGATATCAGCAGCTGGCAACAATTGAGTGCAGAGACACAGATAGATTATCTAGAGGCTGCCCAAATTTGGTGCTTGAAAATGATTACCGACCAAGCCAAGTTATCCCCACTGAAAGAGTGGCACACCGATTCAGCAACTCTCAGTCTCAAATCAATGCTAACTGCCTCCGCTCTAAGACAAAACCTTATGTCTCACCCCAAACCATCCAAGATACCTCGTGGCAACAAACCATTGAGAG